GAGCAGTTCACAAAATTTTTGATAATTCAATTTTTTGATGTGTATATATTTTTTAAATTTGTTAGAGGTAATCAATTTTCCACTTTTTAGGCCCTACAGGCTATGACTTGGGGAGAGATGTGGAATGCTGATTTGGACCAGTTTCTCATTGCACTTGACAAACAGGTAATTATTTCTTCTATTACATTACATTTCTATGATACAAATTCGTTGTTTGTTTGCATAATGAAGTTTCAGGAAGCTAAAGAGCGAGTGGATAACGATATTCAAATAAAGAAGTTAGGCAGTGCTGCAACAGGCGGACGTAAGAAGGCAGGAACTGTCTTAACGAAGGTATGACTTCGCCGTTCTTGTTTTTTATCACTCTCAGGGTCCTGACATTGGGTTTAAGGAGTTTTTGCCTGACCCGAACGGCACTCGAATTGAACCTAAGATTGATCATATGAAAGAAAAGTACGGTGAGCCAAAACCAAAAAAACCGAAACTTCCAAAGGAGCCGAAAGAGACGAAACCGAAGAAAGATGGAGGCGAGGTGTCACTTTTTACGCTATTTATTAGTTTATGGTTTTCAGAACACCGGGATTAAAAAAACCCTTTATTTTTATAGGATGGTGAGAACAGCGAGCCGAAAAGGAAACCAAAAAAAGATGGTAACTTTTCTCTTTTTCTGTATTGATTAAATGGGCTATTTCTAGAGAAGGTTTTGTAGGCTTATTAATTTTTTTAAGAAAACATTATACTGTACTGGTATTGTTTTGCGCCTACTGTGAACAGCAAGTTTTTTCTACTAATGTTTAAATTGCTTTGATAGGTATTCTTCATTAGCAGAGGTGGGCAGCAGGAAAACAGTTTGGTTTTTCACCACTTTTAATTATAAAAACTGCACTTTTGTTGGGTTTTATCAGGCTTTGTTTTTTGAAACTTGTCTTTTTGTCCTACTTTTTTTGTATAGTAGAAGCAATCTGTACGAAACTTGTTAGGTGAGTAAAAGAAGCATATATGAGAGGTAAGGCCAGGAAGGTTTGAGGTTTTTATTTCATTTTATTTATTTATCCTTTTGAAGCAGCATTAAGCTTCAAACTTGTTTTTAGCAGGAGACACAAGTTCGCCAAAAAAGAAGCCAAAGAAAAAGAAAAATGATTGGGAAACTGATAGTGAAGACGACGAATCTGAAAACATGGACAAGTACGTTTTCGAGGATGATGATGAAGATTTTGTGGCTCCAGAAGTGAAGAAAACTACATCCGAAGATAGGAAAAGAAAGGTTAGCTTTTTGCTTCTTTACCGCTTTTGGAAATTCGTGTGAGTTCAACAGCAAGGAAAAAAACTGGTTTATTTAATGGTGGGACTCATTTATTGCTGTTCTTACACAATTATATCCCAAATACCTTTCAATTCTTAAAGTTTCTATAAGAAAAGAAGGCCGTGGAACCTGCTGGTTCTTGACGGTAGAAGTTTTTTTATCAAAAACAATTTGCAAGAATTTCTTTAAGAGGCAGTAGCTTTGTTTTTCCTTTTCTAAAGTGCCGTATAGCCGTGAATGACAGCAACGGGGAGCTTTCTTTTTTCTTGAGGTTACCTCTTCTCGTCAGTTAAAGCCTTCCCTCTTAATGAGCTACTTTTTAGGCCGATCGCTCAACAGCTAGCAGTACCACGATTGATAGTTCTATTTTGTCAGTGGTCAGTATTTTTAACTTTTTTTGCTGAAATATTATCTTAAAAGATTCTTGTATTTCCCAAATGAACCTAAAAATTTTTTTCGAGGGCTTATTTTCTAGCTGTTTTTCAGTTTGAAATACCTTTCACTTGTTTAGGATGATGATTTGTCATTACCAGGAAAGGAGGTGGAGAAGCCTATAGTAAGTGAGAAACCAAAATCAAGAACTAAGGGCGGCGCTCCAAGGAAGAAGAGGGAGGTGAAACCAAAACCATCTGGAGCTACTTCTAAGGTTCGTCAAAAATTACTCGCTTTTTGTTCTTTTAATTTCGCTTTTAATTTATTGCGACTGGTTAATTAGCTAATAATTTTGTTTACTTGAAAGTTTTTCGTCTGTTTTTGATTTTTAATATATGGTATGGTATTATTAGTGCAGACGCACTCTAAGTGACTCGGGTGATGTCGTTTTACAGCCTTAATTCATTGCCTTTTTAGGAGGACTCCGGCTCTAGAGAGGACTCAGCTGTCGTTGAAAGTGTAGCTGAGATTGCATCTGTTGAGCTAAAACAACCTTCGCCGCGTCGGGCATCTACGAGAAAACGTCCAGCTACAACTTACAATTTTGATGATAACGCTAGTGATACTTCTGATTCAGGAGCTTATACGAAAAAGAAGCGTGGAAAGAAAGTTGAAAGTGATGACGATTTTGACCCTGAGATTTGAAAAGGATACATGAAATTTTTTCAAGGAGCTGCAATTTTGAGGTTTTCATTTTTTATTTTTTATTTATTTATTTTTTTTTTTTTTTTTATGAAACAGGAGTTTTTGATACGACTTTTTGAGGTAGTTTTATTTGTCATATTTTTTAACTTTATTTGTTCATGAACGTAAACGGTTATGAAGAAATATAGTATTGCCTGGGGATTTTAGAAGTTTACGTCAAGTTGGCTATGATTTATAAATTACAAGCTATCATTCAATTTGTTCTTTTGACTTTGGAGATTGTCTTATTTTATTCTTTTTTGTTTGAATCTGTGGAAAAGCTTAATATTAGAAAGTTTTTCTAGGTTAGTTTTTATTTAATTTTGCTTTGAGTGCTAATGACCGTTCTTTGTGACCTCTTAACGAAGTAGTACAAAAATTTCTTCGTTACTGCCGTTTTTACTAACCTCTGCTGTTAAATTGGCTGTGTTTTATGTACACTTTTATTTGGCCATTTATTTTTTATGATAGCTGATGCTGGAGTAGCTATTTGCTGAATACCTCTATGTAGCTGAGTGAATTGGTACTTGTAAATTTGGTTATTTTTTGTTATCTTATTTTTACGTGATTATTATTTGATATATTAACATTCGTGAATTAACAGAGATGCCGTTGGTCTCATTTACCGAAGATCTTCCTAATGTATGAGTTTTTGTGCTTTACCTTTACTGCTGTAACACTGCTGCAGGGCAGCCACTTTTGTTTTTTGATAAATACTGTAATAATTTTGCGAGAAATAATTTGTTCAGGTAGTCAGAGGGTGCTGATCATTATATCTTTTAATTTTCATCTCGTCGCCCTTCATTTCTTCGTTTGTTGGATTTTAAAGCTTCTTTTTATACTGAATTATTTCTTCTGTATACTAATTTTAATAAAAATATTGGAAAAAGACGTTGTCATTTGGAGTATTGCGCAGTTGAAGGTGAATGTTAAACTCGGTTGCATGATGCATGTAAGGCTTACTGCCTTTGCCGTTTTTGATCTGCAGTACCCATTCGTCTCTGCTCTGCAAGCCAGCCTGGCTACCCGTAGCTTGTCGAGGCCTGATTATCAGTATAGATTTTGGTCTGAGTGTTGCAGTGGTCTTCCAGAATTCGACTTTTTGGTCGTTACAAATTATCAGTCAATTATTAAACTAGCGTTGGTTATGAAAGTGTTATCTACAGTAAGAAATAATGCCGAAAAGAAGCTGATCCTAGTTGGACTACCGTAGCACGGTGGTCACTGACCTTAACGGTTACTGGAAGATTGCAGTTTGAGTCTAGGCCAATGGACGATGGGCGGGAGTTCTGACGAATTGATAAGTGGCAGATATTCTATATTTTGGGCAATGTTCCAGTGTTACAATTGGCGCATAGCTTTGGAATACAATTCTCATCATTATGTGATATACAATTTCGTCGTATGTAAAGGATATGATTCTGTTCAATGAACTGCTTTCGTAATCGTCAGTATTAAAAAAAAATTTTTTGCTGCTTTGACTGACTGCTAGTGTCTGATTGGTCAACAGAAGTGTGTATATTTTGCTACACCATTGGAACATGTATTTTATGCTATAACTTTCAGATGATTTTAATCCATCTGTTTCCTTAACTTATTTTTGGTCTGATCTGCCTATTGAAAAAATTCAACTGTAAAGTGTAGTGGTTATTAAAATTATTGTTGAAAAGTGGAACTGAAACGGAAGTGACGACTAACAACAAAATTATTCTTTTATTGTAAATACTGTTGTATTTGTAGTATTTGAGCGGTTTCGATCCTGATGATTTGGAAACTTGACGATGGCTGTTAGAAATCGTTTTTTTCGACCAGTTCAAATGGTCTGTGATCAACGAGCGGTAAATGTTCGCGAAATTCGGCTGAGTTATTCATGGGCGAAATTTTTGGCTGAGGTTGCTTTACGGCCAAATGATGCAAAAGGTGGTGTAGATCGGTGTAGCGATTTTGCAGTTCCCGTAGAGTGCTTTCAATATGTTCCATTCAAAAATCATATGAAATATTATGATTCTAGAAATCTGATGGTAAGTGACTGAAAATTTCGTTATTTTATTAGTGAACAAATGCAGTACTTTTTCAGTTGTCAACAGTCTTTTTGCTGTAAAAGGTTTTCTTATTTCACGCGATACGGTAGGCAACAAAAAAAAATCCCATTTGCATAGGCATTAGGTATATAAGTAAAAGGACAATTAAATAATCCTATTTTTAAGGTTGAAATTCCTGTTCTAAGCGAGTACATACCTGATACTGAAAAGAAAGAAATGCAAGCAGCTCACTGGTTTGCTACTGTTTTAAAAGTGAGTTAGAAGTTTTTTTGTTAGCCATCACTATTTTTCACTGTTCATATTTTTGAAACTTTTTGTTCTAATTTTAATTCGTTTACACCCAGACGAAGAAGACCGGAAGAGTGTAGCATGTTTTAGTAAGAATTTTGTATGAGAAAATTTCAAAATTATAATTTTTGAAAAATTTGAGTTTGTTGCTCGTACACCTAGCAGGTGTCTTTCACGGTTCTGTCGCCTTTTGCTTTTTTTCAAAAATGTTTTGTTTACCGCTTAAAATGATTTTCTTTTTATATTTAGACTGCTGGATATCGTATGTTGCTTCGTTACGTCGGAGTGAACAAAGATAATGGGAATATGTATGATTTGTGGATGAACATGGGATCAGGAGAAGTTAGACACGTTGGTTAGTCATTCTGCTCTTCCGGAAAGTCCCACTGAGTTGGTTATAACTTTATGAATATATATTTAAAATTTACTTACCACTTTTCATACTTACGGAGAGTGTTGAAGGAGTCTCTTGTTTAAGGTTACTGCGGTGAACATCTAGATTCATGTAGAATGGTTGTGCCAAATATGATTGCTAAGAATGAAGACGAGTGGAGTAATTATGCACTATCCCAGATTCATGCTTGTCGCTCTATAGCATTTAATTGGCCGCAAGTACAAATAAAAAATATTAACAACTGTAAATTTGAGGTACTTGTCAAATGGAACTCTTATTTTGTTTTCTTCTCGAACATGTCGTACGTCCTGCTGTTTATTATAATCAGTTCACTTTGCAAATCTTTGAAATATTTTGAAAAATTGCTTTTAACCTGCTATTAGGTCGTGAAGTTTGCTTTTTTGGTATATTTTGGTTTACACATTGTTGTAGAAGCGTAATATTCATTTAGATAGGCAATCGGGTTGAGCTTTTAGACACGGTGTTTTCATGTCGCGTAAGGCCAGCGTGCATCCAAAAAATTGTTGGACATAGAGTTCTGGTGCAACTTAGCACCGATGACATTACTCCAGAACCAATAGCCGATGACGATGCTCAGGTGGAAGAAATTTGTGAAACTTTGTAACTTTTCTGAGCTATAAACCTATGTCATTTCACTATTGTTCTACTGTTCGTTGTTTTCTTAGATTAATGGAGTGTGGTTAGAGCACGATTCTCCGCTGTTATTTTACGTTGGATGGAGTGCGAAGGTTGGGTTTGGTTTGTATTCAAACAAGAAGTACAAGCAGCATGCGAAGAACGTTGCAGATGCTTTGATAATGGTACTTTCTCCAGTTTTAACTTCTTTACCCCATTCCGCTCGAAATATCTCTGTAGGCTGTTTTGAATGCTGTGGCCTGTAATGGCAAAATTTTCATGCATTAGACCATAAATTGCTTAAACTTCTAATCTCCTCATAAAACAATATTTTAGGGAAGGCGACCCCCACTCCGCGAACTTGATGCTAATCCAGATCTTTTCGTTACATACGAAGATCATTCGGGTCCCAACCAGGAACTTTTGAGCTGGGAGAAGGGCATGGAGTTGGAGATTCTAGACCCTGCAGACACTTTTAAAGAACTTAGGTGCGGTACAGTACTTGAAATATTACGAGACGGATATATGAGGGTTTGTTTCTAAATTCGTCGCCGAAGCAGGAAACGGTCTAAAAAAGTTTTTGATCAAAAATTTTCACTTCTAAATGATTTTTTTCAAAAAGTCATTACAGGGCAAAACTAAGTTTTTAGATTGGTTTTAAAGGTAATGAGGAGGATGAAGATAATATACCCATACACTGCTCGTCACCACTTCTTTTTCCCGTTGGCTACGCAGAGAAATATGGACTGAAATTAAGGGGGCCCAAAGGTAAAATATACATTTTTTTTCCCACTGTTGAAAGAGGTGATTTTTTACACTGAAAAGTCGCTTCTCGAAATTGATATTTCCATTTTAGACAAGTATATAAATGATCATTTTGAAACCTGTGGGATGAAAGCAGCTCCTTTAGAGCTATTTGATACTGTTGAAGAGCATGAAGAGACAGTAAAATCGTTTCAGGTGAGTATTTGCCCCTGATATTAATTTTTTTTCGCAACTATTGTTCTTTCAAAAAATTTAAATTTCAAATTGATAAGTGCTAGCAACGAAGGAATGTACGTTTGGTTATTGGCGACTTTTGGTCCAAGCCTCCCTTCTGTCTCTGCATGTGTCTGTTTATCGTGTAGAATGCGAGAACTGTCTAAGTGCCAGTAAAAATCATTTAAAGGGGTTTTCTAGTTCCTCATAGTCAGTTCAAGAGTGATTTAAAGATTACCCCACGGTTACTCTTCTTTCCGTGCACAAGGTGTTTTGGCGTCATTTCCTGTATTCTTCTTTAATGCCTTGAAGGCTGTATGGTACTTCATTTTTTACCT